CCAAATATATATCATTTTTACAAAAAAACCATAAACAAATCCACATAATGACCATATACGCACTAATTATAGGCAATATAGGAATCTTCTATGTAAACAGCTTAAAATGGCCAAACTACGTTACTATACCTAATAAATTCAACTCTGCCAAGAACAATAAGAGATGGCAAGTGATCAATGAAATTCGCAATGAAACCACTAATAACAGAAAAAAACTCGTCACTGATAATGACATCAATCTATTTAACAACACTCATGTCGCCGAAAAAATTATCGAATTCTTTACTAACATAACTAACAATGGTGATCATACCAAATATCTCAGTAGGCGCCGTATTAATTTTTTTCCACCATGTTTCTGATTATGACGCTTTCATCGAGTCCATTAATTTGTCAATCAAAAAGTCTATGGGTTACGATCAAATCCACTGGTACACAAAACAGGGTTTTACAGCCCAAACCCATGCACTGCAAAACGTTCAGTTCGTGCTGAAGTAAGCACTACATTCTGACGTTCCAGCAATTTTAATCACCACTTTTTCTGGCTTCAGTTTCCGTACCACTGAATGCGTTCCGATCGACAAAAGTCGACAGCAGTGGACCGAGATACGCAAAAACTGGGAACGTGCCGTTTCAGTTCCGTACTTTCCCAGACAGATTTTGGCAGGGTGCTGAGTTTTGAAATATATCTCGCTCCCTCGTTTTCTAGTAAGAGTGTGGTTAAAACATAAATGGGAATCCAATGTGCTCGCATAACAAAGATAAGTATGAAAAGTGTCCATATTCTAGAAGTCAACTCACCTTCACTGTTGGTGTATCTGTCGCTATCTAGATGTCTTCTTTGCCCATGTATTGGCACACTGATACACGTACACACGACTACGGTAAATACTAGAAGCATTGCCATAAGGGTAGTCGGCGTTGTTTGCATATTGGTAGTTTCTTTCGGGAGAAAATGTATAAACTCTAAAAACAATTGAGATGTACATATATTATTTGATATGTAATACGTAAAGACACTATTACCAACGTCGTAACTGATAAATCAAGTGTAGCATTGTATTTCAAATACATTTATAACGTAAGTTCACAGTGTAAACGTTGTGCAATGAATGTGGTCGACGATTTCTGACACTGGACTACACTATGCTTTAATGCTAGCAATTAACACTATTAAATAATAAATAAATAAACTTTGTCATGCAAATATACAATTTCAGTTTGATGAAGTGTAGTTAAAACTGTGTTTAACAATTTTTGGGAAGAAAATATTACAATACGAAACTTGAAAAATTCACGTGAAACGAATATATTACCTTCTAATTTATGGAAGTAATTTACTATAATATTGCAAATATTTATTATTTTATTAATAGAGATGTCGCTGTCCTATATAATTGTATCGGTCTGCTGACTTTAACATCCATAAATTCGACTAATATTCCAAGTCATAATACGTCACGATCCTGTGACTGTGTTTAACAATTTTTGGGAAGAAAATATTACAATACGAAACTTGAAAAATTCACGTGAAACGAATATATTACCTTCTAATTTATGGAAGTAATTTACTATAATATTGCAAATATTTATTATATTTATAATTGTATCGGTCTGCTGACTTTAACATTCATAAATTCGACTAATATTCCAAGTCATAATACGTCACGACCCATAAATATAGCTAATATCCCAAGTCATAATTTGGTTATCCATCATTGCATCGCGAATGATAAATGCGTGTTAAAGAAATTGTTCCAGGCACTAACGTAATTTAAAGTGATCCATTTAGGTGTGCAATTTTTGTGGTTAAATGCACATCACCCTACAATTATAATATTTTTAAATAGCAAATACATACCGCATATATTTCCATTTTAAAGGGAGAACAATTCTAAAGAATGGCAACGCCGACACACATTTTGTTGGCAATTGTGTACATTAAATGAAATGGATGAAAATAATGTACGTTACTGAAATATACGTTAGCATGATAGCGAACTGGAGACAAAATTATTTTTCAAGCCTACTACGAGTTGTCTGTCGTTTTCCTTCTAACAAAGCAACCAAATGTATACATTTGATAGTTTTGTTTGAGTTGTGAAACCAATTAGTGGATGTTTGTTATATGTTAATACGTCATACGTTGCTTAATATAAAATACATTCCAACAACGCAATATTTTCATCAAAATAAACGATCGAACGAACGTGTTGAATATTACAACGTTTGATTATGCAAAATTCAACGTAGATAGTAATGATACGGTATAATTTGTTGAGCACAGACATAATAAATAAGACGAAAAGACTTCACCCCTTTCAGGGACACTAGCACACTAACATTGCTGAAAGATATTATTGACCTTAATGTTTGTAATGTATATTCAGCAGATACACTTATTAATAAGGCATTGAATGTGTGAATTAGGATGGCCATTACTTCTCATGTCATGTGTGTTCAGTAAAGACTGGACTGCCATATTAGATAAAACAACACAGCGTAACACGACTTGACACTCATCCACACTTAACAGTGAAAACACGTTTTCACACAATGACACAACAATGTTTGATATCAGGAATTACCTAAATGAACATGGCAATGAACTGATAATTGTATACAAGTTGTTCAAAAAACGGTTCAGTTATATTTTTTCTGCTTTTATGTATACAACGTATAATTTTCTTGATGTTTTAAACAATTATATATATATATGTATTGCCAATCCCAAGTTCTAGAACACTTGGAACAGCATTGCATTTATGTTTTAAAGTGCTGGTAAAATTTTGAAAATTTAACATGCTTCGAATTTTTTAATCGCCAGTTGCCCTTATTTTGCTTGGGTGAATACGCATGCAATTAAATCTTCTAACCAATTACAATGGTGCTGATTGAACTGGTATTACTCATAGTTTTATTACTGAATGAAGCATTTTATTCTTCCGCCAAAATGTATACCTTTCTGTTTCTGAATGTTGCATGACTAGATAGGTTTTCTGTTTTGTGTTTTTTATTTCCAGGATCAAAAACATCATAATATCTAGAACAAACTATTACATGATGGTACGTCGAAATCCGGCAAAATAAATTTCGATAAATCTAAATAACGGGTGTCAAGGAAGGCGCATCCATTGTAAACTTTGAATGCCACACATGACAATCCTCTGTTTTAACTGTGAACCAATGTTAAAGCGCGGTAGTCGTCGCGTTGCGCATGTGCCACATTTGTGTTGATAAACATTGATTTTCCCATAATCCAATGCGCTCTTCAAATATTTTGACCTGGGCGCGACTTGCACTGATTACCGCCGGTGACTCCTTCGATACCTTCCAATAACATGAAAATTACTTTTTTAAAGCTTGGAAACGTCACAGTTCGTACTCGTAGATCTGCGCAACAGTCAAAGTCGCCATCTTTGTTTATATGAGACCCATATATCTCGCACATGCGCAGCGCTACGACTACCGTGCTTTAATGGTTTTAACAATCGTTGTATTCGTACGTCGCACGCAACCCAAGTCAAACACGACTGAAGAGTTTAAAAGGCATGACAAATGATTTGTTCTTTGCTGCGCGAAGTTTTTGAATAAATAAAAATCTCACCCGAGTTTCATATGCGGCGGCTATTTTGAATTAGAAATTGCTCAAATTTCATAACAGTGTATTTATGATTTTCTGCTTTGACACTGTTACTACTGTTATTATAATTATTAGTTCTTTAATGTGATATTAACAACTATAGAAACTGCAAATACCGAGAGATTAGTTCCACTAATATTATCCTGATAATAGTGAGAACCCGGCATTAGTATACATCATATGTACAACCTGTCGTTCGGATTATATTACCCTGTATTGATTTGTGTTATTCGAGAATCAACCATTTTATAAAAAGAGATTTTGGTGCTTGAACGTACTATATAATCGGCAGTATTAGTTAAACTCTACAAGATTCGATCGTTGTCGCTTCATTTCTGGTTGTTTAATTTAAAAAAGAAGTATCCTTTTAATCATTAAATGGCAAAATTAAACTGTAACCAGAAATATGTCAAATCCCCGTTTGATTCAAGGATCGTCTACATAATTGAATTGTAAGGCAATAAAAGTCAACGTAAGTATTATCGAAGGGGGTTATCGTTCTTTGTGGGGTATCCTTCAAATGATCAGTACATACAAAACAAAACACATTTTATTTTCCCAGCGTTTCGATCGTCGTCGTCTATAAGAAATTACAACTAACACACCAGATATCTATTCTACAGAGTGTTTGTTACTTCGACAAAAACCGTTTTTAAACTATTCGAAAATCATTAGAGCAATGTGACACACCTGACAGAAATATTATCATTTTTATTTCTCCCAATAGTAAATGACATATGACGATAACGCCAAATGTCATTAACTCATGGGTTGTTCGGTACACTGTTATCTCAATTTGTAGAAAGAATTTCAATTAACTAGGCACTAGATAATTGAGTAGTTATTGTATCATCTGCATCTAACAAAAATGCGGCGCAATTGATGAATACTATCTCGCTACTTGAAGAAATAATTTTGTAGTGTTTTCGTTTTATTTTTGTTGGCAGCCTGGCAAAGTTTAGATAACTCTACTTTGGTTCAAGTGAACAAAAACAGAAATTTTGAGCAACACATTTTTAATATTCGCGCTTCCTGTGAATTACGACCCTAAAATGTCAGGAACTCGCTATTATTTACATACATATCGATACGGCAAGACTTCACATTGTCCAGATTTCCATTCAACGTCAACGAAATTATAAAGTAATTTGTTTTAAATTAAATTAAAGTTAACCTCACGTAAACTAAAGATGACATGCAATATGAAAAAAATATATGCAAAAATAAATGTTCTGAAACGTATTATCAAGTTTAAAAATCTGGTGACTTATCGGAGTTAGCTGTTGTAAGAAAAATCGTATGAGAGAAAGCGATAGAGAGAAAATACACACCTGTTAACCCGTCAATGCAGCTCAGCTCTGACAGTGCTAAAGGCTGCGAGATCATATAAACCTATGTATCTACCTCAAGGGATTTGCATTTCATTAAGGAATATTCAACACATTCTTCAGTAGCATAAATCCATAATCTATTAAGCTAATTAGGTGACAACAGCCCACTTGTTCGAACACGCAGAAGCGGAATACTTGATAAGGGGGTATATTTGCTAATCGCGAGGGAAGGAGAATTCCATCAAGAAAGTCTCTTTACCATCATTATTGTAATATTTATTGGTGTGAATGAAAACTATTCTAGAATGCACATTATTCAATTTTAATCAGAAACAAAGATCTGTTAGTGTAGTAAACGCCACGGCATAGATGTGTGTTGTGAGGGCGTATCCCGGAACACCTCCCAGATGCCCCGTGGCGTGAGCTACGTATAAACTTGCTTTAATTTAATTTAAAGTACTAGACAAGGCCAAAATAATTCTCCATCAACAAATCATTCTCTAATTAATAATTGGTAAAAATATCCATCTATTTTGACCAACCACTTATTCAGAATAACTTAATTTAGAAAAACATACATTTGTATTTCAAATAAAAGAAAGATCCAGCGGCAAAACTATTTCTTCCGAATACTAGTATTCATAACTAATGGTTATGCCATCCAATTTTATTTTTTGGGGATTTATTACTGAACCTGACCAATGATTATCCGTGTACAATGAGGCGCGATGTGTATGCTACTTAGTCTGCAGAAGATGGTTGTCTGGCCTGTTGTGAGTGAGGTGAGATATCGTATCTCCTTCTCAAGTTTAAAAAAGTGAAGACATTATTAAATCAATTCCGGCGAAGATTATTTCAGTGTGTTTCAGTGGACATCTTTTCTGCTGGGCATCAACTGCTCGGATGTTCCATTGTTTGTTCTGTTATCATTCCCATCAAAGCGACGTTTCGTGTACATATACCCTATGCGGCGTTTATAGTGCGTATTCATTAGACCGAAATTCGACCTGTTCGACTACCGCCGCCATTTAAACAATATCGCAGGGGAAAGAGGCGTTTTAATATATGTTTTGGCAAAATCATTTCGCACTAAGTAAGTGAAATACATAGACAACATTTATTATTTACACTAAGTGACATCTTCAATTAATAATTTAAATGAATTTAGACTTTTTTACATTATCTTAAGTACAATGTGACAGGAGTCTTTCGCCCACTGCGTGTGAAATCAGAACATTAGAGAAGTCTTTAGATATGCTATGGTCTTCCATCACCCACATGTAGGTTGATGTATGTCATTGCACATATGTAGATTATGTTCTGTCGTCACACATACACATGCATTTTTAAAATACCTCCTTTAAAGGTAATTGAAGCCGCCGGAGAAAGGAATTTTGTTGAATGTAACAAAGTTTAACGTACCATGTAGTGATATCATAAACACTCTGTAAAATTGTGAAGCTTTATTGGGGTTGACAACCTCATCTTGTTTTATCAACCTTGTAATTACCTTTTGTGGGAGAAATGTCAACCACCATTAAAACGAGATAATATCTGCATAGTTTTATTTTGTATTTTAGGTGTGAATATCTCAAAACTATTTTGTGACACTGAAGCCCCAAATCAAATACGTGGGTGTGTTCTCCATAGCTGATAAGAATTTCTGATTACGGGAAATAAATAAATTAAGTGGTGTTTTACCGGGACATACTGGGTGTCACTTAGGTCGTTTAGTGTGTTAATAATTCAAAACTGTTGTCACGCAACGACTTAAAGATGCACGTCTGTATATGACTTCATATATACGCAAAGGAAAGTCAACTGCTCTCGTGAAAGAATTCATATATCAATATACCTCATTAATACGTAGTATGTTTGGATAGAAAAGACAACACAATGCTCTATAATAAAACACGTGGATGTGTGTATATTGACAATAAATTATTGTGTGTGAACTTGTATTTTTATATTGCCATAATTTATTTAAACAATTGTGGAAATTAATCTGTAAATAATTTATACGTTGCCATTAATGTATTAAGAAATTCATACACCCACCTTTATTCATGACAGAATGAAGACTTTTCCCCAGAAACACGATATTGCTCGTCTTTAATTTGTCACACTCTTATGAAGCCCTTTGGGAGAGTTCGTGCAACGTATTACTGTTACATGGCCTCGAGGTGTTGACCTTCACAAGCTGAAGTGAAGTGATGGGAGTCATTTCTACTTCATTTTAAAAAAAGTTTGCTATTATCGCACGGAATGTATTTGTAGACTTGACCATCATTCTCCGTAAGCCTTCTGACAAAAACATATCGTTGCTTTTCATATCCAAAGTTCTTACACATGATTTATTGTCTAATTGTAAGTCAAAATACTGAATCAGTGTAATCAAATGTAAAACTGAAGATTTTTGGGAGAACACAATAATGCGACCTACTGTATCAAATGTGAAATGTTTTAATGGAATGTTATTTGTATTTAATTTGTTTTTTTGTATTTTATCTAATTGTATTTTATTTTTACAATCCTATTCAGAAAAAAAAATAGTCACATGTATTTGCCAATGAACTGTATGATACAATATCATGAAAATAAAAATTCTTACATTATGTTACCTATATAATTTACTTTTTTAGAAGAAGACCATGCTCTTCCTTTGTAATTATCTATAACATATTATATTGTTTTAATATTTTTGACAATAGGCCCAAAGAATCTAATAAAAAGGATCCAGCACATTCCTTTATAAATATGAATATGTATTTTGGTTCTTGGTTTTAAAAACAGAGAGAGATGGGTTCTGCAGAGTGCATTTTTCTATTCCAACTTTTCCAATCTATCTGCGTGCTTCGTCCGGTAATTTTCATCAGAGGAGGGCTAACCATATTATGTAGTAATGTTTCATTTTTACTTTTCCAGAAAAAAAACCGCATAGTTGATAATTTATGGCAGTATTTTTTGAAGTTCATATTTGGTATCGATAAATCATGGTTTTTCAGAGGGTAGTAGTTATTATTCATATCTATGACTAAGAAATGATATTTTGTTCGAAACGTCTCGTTATATTGATATATGTGTGAAATGACAGATCGTCTACTGCTAAAATAGCACGATTTGACTTAATTTCTTTTTATAGTTAAATGTAGATATGCTGAATTTTCAGAAGAAAACATGATGTTGAGATACTCGTACTCCATCAAAATTGACCATCATCAAATGTGTATACGGTGAAAATACCACTTTAATATATTACATTACATTACATTATTTTCCACTCGTATAAATTTAATCCATGAGGTATGGTATCACTGAGAAATTTATACATAAAGCTTCACAATTTTCTTCTGAAGTAAGTTTAATAGTATGTTTGTATATCGATATTGTGCCTTGTTTATTGCGAAAATGTCAGGTATATTCTCAATACTGCAAGTAACTGTTTTTTTTGTTTTTTTTTAGAAAAAACTATTTCACAGTTATTCATCATTTCACTTGTCGTGCGATGCGCACGCATGTACATCAGGTAGCTTTTCTCATGTGTGACCAACAACGCTCATCAAGACTGAGTATTTTACTTCGAAACATATTATAATATTATTATACATCTGTCACCATAACGCAATAAGTTACAGCGTGCCGTAATTTATTACGAGGATGCTTCAAAGTATGAACTCAGACAGTACTACGCCGCGCATCGACCTTCGCTGCACGTCGGTCTATACTCCAGCTGTACTTTCTTCGTGCATACTTAGAGGTATCCTCGTACATTAAAATCTCCACTCACGGTCAGTCATATTTTAAAGCAGGAGGGTCGTCACCTGCGCACGCGCGGGAATTGAGTTCCAAACGATGCCTCACCAGAAATGAGTGGACAAGATGGCCGACTTCCTGGCCAGTGTGTTCCCCAGTCAAATAAATATTACAGAATGTGCCATAGGGAATGCATTGCATAAATATATATTCAAACAAAATTTAATTTTGAGTTTATATTTTTAATTTTTTCTCTTATGTGTGCTTCGTAATAGACAGATGACGTTCCAATCTTTCGATGTGTTATAGATGTTTCCATTAAAACTCCACCATTAAATGCCAAACTTGCCATAAAACATGATAATAAATGCTACACTGGCCCAGTGTATTACCAATGGACGATGTGTATTTGTGTGCCAGACTCTATTTTTACAAATAAGAAAATTCAGTAACGCAGGCGACTGTTCAAGTTTGTTTGCTTCGTTCTAGATAATCTCTGATTCAATGAACACGGCGACGCAGCTGACGCAGTTGTAGACGCAGTATTTGCTGCCCAAATTAGAGTTGAAATTCATGCATTTTTTTACACAGATGTACGATTCAATTGTTAGCAAATATAACTGTTTTAATCCAATTAACAACAGGAAGTAACCTGAATCGAGATTTATTTTATGTCCGTTATTCAATGTTTAATCACCCCACTTTCCAACGCAAACCACTATCGCCATACTGCTTTTGATGCTGAAGGTCAGACCACAAGATCGATATATTGTATCGGCCGTTTTTCCTCTTTATAAAAGAGGGGTTTCAGCACACTGTCTGTCCGTGAGTTGTGTATTGTTCCACGACATTCTCGACTTTTGTTTTGTAATGCGTCAGACAAACGTAATTTGCATACCAATC